CTGTAGTTTTGCTCTCTGTGGTTTTAGTTGCCCCGGTTAACTGCAGTCTGAAAATATTAAATGGAACATTCCAGAAATAAACAATGATAAGTTTTAAATTGCATGTCTTTCTGAGTAGCATAATGAAATCTTGCCCCATTTCATTCTGTCCAGCATGGAATGTGAATTATCTGTTTGCCCAGCCTATTCATACCGAATATGCTACCTGCCTGTTAGTCCTCAACATCCTCTGCTCCTGACATCCAACCATCAACATCGTCATGACTTAATGAACTAGAATCACCTGAAGCAGATGATTCTCCTTCCTACTCTCAGAAGGTCAATAGCGGCCTAATACTATATTACAATGCCTTCATCACTCAGCTCACTTCATCTCATCACGTAGGCTTTTTTCATCTCATAGCATCACAAGAAGGGTAACTACAGTACACTAAGATGTTTTGAGAGAGACATTCACATAACTTGTATAATAGCATATAATTATTCTTAGTTATTTCTATTAATCTCCTACTGTGCCTAACTTACAAATTAAACTTTATCATAGGTATGTATAGGAAAAAATATAGTTTATATAGGGTTTAGTACTCTGCTGGTGTCGAATATCCACCAGGGGTTTTGGAGCATATGCCCTACAGATAATGGAGGATGACTGTATCTAATTTCACTTTCTCCTGAAGTACCTAAAGCCACATTAAGTAAATTTTTACAAAAGACCAACATTCCAGTATAGGAAAAATAGGAAAGATGATAAGAGCAACACAATGTTGGAAGCTGGAAAGCAGATGAACAAGCCAAAAAAGCTGAGTTCTAAGCTGGCTTCAAACCACAGAATCTTCAAAAAGCTCAGGAATTGGCAGCATCAGGTACACCTGGGAATTAAATAAAGAAGAAAAACAACTTGAGAAACAATTGGATTCCTAGCTGCCTGTTTATTCTTTATGGTGCTAGGTGACTGTTCCTCCCCTGTCCCAACAGAAGTCTGGAGTTTTTATGTTTGTAGGTATGGTTGAGAGCAGGACTTCCTACTGAGGGGAGAAATGAGTTCATATATTCTGACTCTCCACCCCTTTTCTTTCACCTGTTTCTCAGTCAAGCCCTCATCTACCAGGCAGGAGATCAGAAAATTCTCTGGGGATTCTGACCAGAACAAGGAAAAAAAAAAAAGTAAAGACACTCACTTCAGAGGTCTGCCAAGAAACTGTACATCTAGATTATCCTTAAGTTCAAAGTCAACAAGCCCTGTCAACTTGTCTAGTGCTTTTAATCAGCATTTTTTAGTGCAGAAAACCAAGGATTACCAAATGATATGGTTTGGCTGGGTCCTCACCGAAATCTCACATTGAATTGTAATTCCCATAATTCCCACATATTGTGGAAGGGATCAGGTGGAGATAATTGAATAATGGGGGTGGTTTCTCCCATTCTGTTCTCATGAGAATGAGTTAGTTCTCACGAGATCTGATGGTTTTATAAGGGGCTTCCCCACCCCACCCCCCTTCACTGGGCGTTTAGTCTTCTCCTTCCTGCCTCTTGTGAGAAAGGACATGTTTGCTTCCCCTTCCGCTACGATTGTAAATTTCTGGAGGCCTCCCCAGCCCTGCAAAACTGTGAGTCTTCTCTTTCCTTTATAAATTACCCAGCCTCGGGTATGCTCTTATAGCAGAAGGAGAATGAACTAATACACCAGATATCTGAGGACAGTCCCCTCTGAAAAAGATAGAGACCTAAATAAATACAAGGAAAAGGCAATATGAAGCAATAGAGACTATGCTGGGAGAGGAAAACAAACAAGTTTTCCCATATCCTCAGATAATAGACAAATACTGCATACATGAAAGAAAATAGAATGGTATAAAAAAGATCATTTAGAGAATAAAAAGAGCCCTTAGAAATTTAAAAAAAAAAGTCATGAAGTTAAAAAATTTAAAAGACTAGAATGTAAGATTAAAGATTTTCTCAGAAAGTAAAACAAAGAGTAGACAGGAGAGAATGGGTAAGGAAATGAGAGGTCTGTTCTAGAAGGTTCACTATCCAAATTATAAGAGCTCCAGAAAACATAAATGAAGCAGAAAAAATTGTCAATGAAATAATTCAATAAAATTTATCAGAACTGATGAACAGCAATTGCTAGAACTAAAGGGCCTATATGGATGAAAACAGACCCTGATAAAGGCATGTTGTAAATTTTTAGAACTCTGGGGAAAAAAGAAAATTATGTAAGCTTCTAGAAAGGCATAAACAAGTCACACACACAAAGTTAAGAATCCAAATAATTTCAGACTCTCAGCAATGCACTATAAACAAGACAAGGGAGCAATACCTTTAAAATACTGAAGGAAAATTATTTCCAAGCTAGAACTTTATACCCAGCCAAACCATCAATCAAACAGGACTAGTGAATTATACAGTTCCAGGGAGCAATATTCAGAATTCAGTGTTACACAATAAAGTGGTTCACATTCAAGAATGAGGATAGAACAATGACATTTTCAGGCATCCAAGTCTCAAAAACTTATTTCCCAGGCACCCTTTCTAAAAACAAAACAAAACAAAACAAAACAAACAAACAAAAAACGACTGGAATGTGTTCCACTAAAAAAAAGGAATAAACTAGGAAACAGGAAGACATGAGATATAGACAGGGCTGACTTTGTGGATATCAACCCATATAGTCACACAGGATTCTGCACATAGAAGGACCCCATACTTGGTTTACTACTACACTGTTGTCATCTTGAAATTCTTATAATTTTTAAACAAGAGGCCCCAGGTTTTCATTGTGCACTGGACTCCACAAATTATGTGGTCTGATCTGGATACAATAAGCACATGATCCAGCCCATGTGAAAGGCAAAAGGAATCCCCATAAGGACAGTGAAGAGAAATTCCAGGACAGCTATCAACAGACAGAGGGCAACTGTTCCAGAGAGGGGCATGAGACTCAAGAGACAGACATGTTGGTGGCTGTCGTAGCCAAGTTTCCACTGCTATTTTACTCTCTTTTTCAACCCCAGGATAGAATGCTTGAGTGAGCTTGCCCAGATTCTTACTGTGTCCAGCTCTCTATTCCATACCCTGCTGCTTGCCTTAGTTGAGGACATTCGTTGCACCTCTCCAGAGTTTCTGCTTAAACCTGCATCTGAGAGCTGGAGGCGAGTTAGGAATATAGAGAGCATCCCCTACCCTCTGACCATATTTCTGCCTGACTTCAATACCAGACTCACCTAGGAACATTGCCAGGTGCTCAGACTCCACAGAGCCCTGTGTTTCCTAGGACTAGTGTATGACATTGCCCACTAACTTCCCCAGAAAGGTGTCTCCTAAATGCTTAAAGAAGCGGATGCTAAGATTTCAACTAATAGAACTTTGGTTGTTTTTTTTTTACACAACGACTAAATTTTCAAAACTGATCAACATATTGTTTAGGTATATAAACATAGGTGGTAAACCATAAAGAAAGCAGGAAATGATTAACATGAAAGGGCAAATTCTTAAAAGTGCAAATTAGTGTTAGCCTCTGGATAATCATGGATGAGATGTAAACAGGAGAGTTTTTGGGGGCAGGTGCATGGGACTTGTTAATATTTTATTCTTAAACTAGGTTAGGTAGTGAGTGCATGGGTATTGGGCTTTTTATGATTTTTGTTTTTTGGGTCTTTTTTTTAGATGAGGTCTCACTCTGTCACCCAGCCTGGAGTGCAGTGGTGTGATCTCAGCTCACTTCAGTCTCCACCTTCTGGGTTCAAGCAATACTCCTACCTCAGCCTCCCAAGTAGTTGGGATTACAGGCATGCAGCACAATGCTTGGCTAATTTTTTTAAAAAAATTTTTGGTAGAGACAGGATTTTGCCATGTTGCCCAAGCTGATCTCAAACTCCTGGGCTCAAGCAATTTGCCCACCTCAGCCTCCCAAAATACTGGGATTACAGGCATGAGCCACCATGCCTGGCCGGTATTGGGTTTTTAATTCTTCTTTAATCTGTACCTGTATTTTAATAAACTCTTCTAAGGCCAGTAAAAAATAAAATAATGAATGTCAGTGCCATTATCATAGGATAAACTTCATCAACAGCCAATTTGGCCCTTTTGCCACATCAGTCTGTATGGTCCTTTTATCATGGAATTTTGAATAAAAGACCTCAGACCATCTAGTCCAACCTTCTTTTTATTTGTAACCATTATTATTTTAACTGGCTTTTGGTGTATGCTCTTATTGTATAAGTTGCCATACAAATTTATAAGTTCATTTTGTTTTAGATGTGTGATGAGTTATCAGACTCTCCTTATTTTCTGGTGGTGTTTCTGCATTTTTCCTTCATCTGAGTTCTTTATCTTTTCTAAAGGCATGCTCAAGATTTTCTTCATCAGCCTTGATAATTTCATTTCACTTGAATTTGGAGGTAGGATGAGGGAGGTGGAAAATGAAGGAGCCATAAAATGTCTTTTACCACCAACATTCTACTGCCTTTACTTCTCTCCCAGAATGTATTCATTTGGGTTTATTCAGCTCAACGCAAAGAGCTTGGGGGTGCAGGATCTTTTTGCCAAATTGGATATGAGCTGACTCACTGAAATATTTCTCAAGTGTTCTACTGGTTCAATGAGTAACATCCTGGAAGAAATATGAGTTATTGTTAATCATAATTATTCCTTCACCTTTCCTGGAATGCCTTTGAAGGCACCAGGCATCAGAAGTATCTGTCATCAAAAGCTCTTTTGTCTGCAGTTTCTGTGATTGCATTCAGCTTGTTCACGGCAGAGAGAGGTTTTTTCCTAATATGATGGCTTCCCTTCTCTAAAAGGTATCCACTATTTAGCCCGCCTGCAGAAAGGAAGTTGGCACAGGTTCTGAAGAGCCAATCAATCCCTTAGCTGTTCTTCTTGGACAAGTGACCCTTTCTTGGTAGCTCTAGAATTTCACCACAATTGCAGAAGTTGAGTAACTTGTCAGCTGGTCATTTGTAACCAATAAACTGAAAAGATTACCCACCTTTACTTACATTTTGGATAAACAGACAAAATCTGTAATTCTGGAGTTGTGTCTTCAGGGCTGACTGTATTGTGGAATCACATCTGGACAAGATTTTGCTGTAGTTCTTGGCATTCCTAGACAAAATAAAAGGCATGAAGGAATTAGAAATCTAAACCAGAACCATGCCTATTAATATAGTTGTCTTCGTGTTATGAGTGAAACATAAACTGAAGCACTCAGGTAAGAGGAATGTTAGTTGTGACTTCTTTTGTCTGCAAAGGATGGAAACTCTTTGGTACAGGCTTAATAAAAAAGGTACTTACAGGGATGCAAGAAAGTCATAGAAGCCAAGGAAAGAAATGCAGTTTTCTCTCAAGATGGGGTTGGAACCAGGAATTAGAAGGACCCAGGGACTCTTTCTTAACTCTGCTCCTCTTTGTACATGAACATCATCTTTATGCCTCTTCGTAACTCAACTTTTCTTTGCTTCTCAGTGAAACACAGCACTCTTGTGTTTGTTTTATGTTAGTCAGGATAGTCTAGGTTATGTTGAAGTAAGAAATAAATCGTATCCGGGAGCGAAGGCTCACTCCTGTAATCCCAGCACTTTGGGAGGCCAAGGCTGGCGGATCCCTTGAGGTCAAGAGTTTGAGAACAGCTTGGCCAACATGGTAACATCCTGTCTAAAAATTACCCAGGCATGGTTGATGCACACCTATAATCTCAGCTCCTCGAGAGGCTGAGGCATGAGAATTGCTTGAACCCAGGAGGAGGAGGTTGCAATGAGCTGAGATCATGCCAATCCACTCAAGCTCGGGTGGCGGAGTAAGACTCTGTCTCAAAGGAAAAAAAGAAATCTTAAACCATGAAGATGTTTTTCCTAACTCATGTCACAATTTTCTATGGACTGAGCAACCTTTCTCCATCCTATCACTATGTGATTTAGAACATGTGGCCTCCAAGGTCACTGTGGTAGGGAAGCAGAAAGTGAAGAGAGATGAGAAATATTTTCAACAGCCAGGCCTAGAATTATCTTATAATCACTTCTATCTATTTCCCGTTGGCTAGAAATTAGTCACATGGCCTCAACCTAACTGCAAGGAGAACTGAGAAATGAGATGAGCATTGGGAAGTCAGTGAGCACTAATAATCTCAGTCACGTATCACGTTTCCAATCAGCAGAAAACCCAGACCAATTAGTCCAAACTATTTGTTTTCTGAGGTTGTTTCTATTTGTTCAAACTCTGATTCCTAGGAAAGAGACTCTTGCCCAGCCTTGGTCACATGTCTACTCTGATCAATCTGCTCTGTCTTAGAGGCAGGATCATGTTGAACAGAATGGCTGCCAGGATCCCATCCCTTTAACATATGGCTCAAATGTGGAAGAGAACGACAGCACTCAGAAAGGGTAGGCTTTTCAGACAATCGTTAGTGTCCACTATGTAGAAGCATGTTTTATTTCTGGAGCCTCTGAGAATCAGTCTTATGCTATTTATGCTGTTTCTCAATAATGGTTTCTGTGTTTTAGGGAATGCCTTATTTCAAACATGAAAGGAATATAGTGAACCTTCTTAGAGGAGTTAGGACTTACTGCTTTTCCCTCTAGAAAACTATTCACAACACCTACCTTTGGAAATAAGGTACCTGACTTGTGAGGATGGTTACCAGACTTCTAAATGTGGAAGCCATTTTTCCGATCTCAGTTGAGAGCTGCTACTAGAACACAAAGGTAGCACTGGAGTCCTTCCAAATGGATCCCCCAGTGGTAGTCATTAGGATTGTTCCAAAGATTCTCATTCTTTTCTCTTTCTGGGTGTGTTGTAAGATTGCACACCTCTGCCTCCTTTGTAATTAGATGTGGGCATATGACTTGCTTTGACCAATGAAATGGAAATAGAAGGGACATGTGTTGCTGGTAGGCAGAGGCTTAAGACCCACTTCATGATTCATCATACTTTCTTCTCCCTGCTCAGCTGATTGTAGAAGTGTATATTGATATGTCATAGCTCGGCCCGGATCTCCCTGCCTACTCATGCTGGACATCTAGCATGAGAAAACAATGAACTTTTTGTTGTGTTGAACCACTGAGACTGGGGCTGTTTGTTACTGTAGATAACCTGATCCATCTAACCACTCTATCCTCCTATGCAGCCATCCATACCACAAAGGACCCCCACCAATATACATAACCATCTGTGGCAATCCTGCTCTAAAGAGTGCCCTTCCTTCTCCACACTATCCCTTAAAGGACGAGTTATATGGTTTATACCAGCTTGGCAGTAATTTTCATACTTGAGTTCATTTGCATGGCCCCTTATTGCAAAAACCATAGGAATGATAGGGCCATGGGTATTTTAAATGGGAAAGTCTTTGAATTTGGAGGACTACAGGATAGAATATATTTGAAATAAATATTTAGACACTCCTCACTGCTGTCACCTTCCAGAAGGATAGGCTGATTCACTATGCTTACCGCAGGCTGCCTGCCACAGACCATGCTTTGTTAGAGATTAGATGAAGATGAAGTGCTAAATAGAGAACAAGGAAGAGCATGAGACATTGCTGTAGTTCAATGCAAACAAGGCCTGTTGTCTATCTGCAACAACTGTAACATCCTTCACAGGCTCCAGACTAGTGAGCCACACTTTAACTCCCTTTCTAACAAGCTTTGTTTAAAGACAAAACTTTAAGTTCTCAGGTCAAATCAAGAAACAGGTATGATTACTTATTAAAGAACCAAATTTTACTTTAGTCACTAAAGATAAGAGACTTAAAGAGATGTGTAGCAATAAAGAGGAAATTCTAGGTTTCCTTCAATACAAGTAGGATGCGGCAT